GAGACTGAGAAGTGAAAGACAGATTGGCGAAAGATATGTGCATTTCGGTGTTTGCAAGCCGCAAACAAGGTGCACTGTCATTGATTGAAAGTATATAGCCCAAGCCTCTAACTCTCTTCCAGGATGGAACAAAGGAAATCCTGTTCGTCAAACCAGAAGCTGGCCGACAAAATCTTCTTCGCGCTCAGGAAGGAACACGGATGCAGGACGCTTGATTAGAGACGACGGTTCGCTATAGAAGAGTAATCCGGCTCCATTGCTGCATCTGTTAGCATTATCCGGATAACGTTGGTCGAGAAACACTAAATCTGTCGCTACGTCCCATGAGCAACCCTGTCGGGATGCTTGGGTGTCTACAGCGAGACGATGTGGTTGTTGCACTCTTTATCGGAGAAGGGTGTGCAGACCAAACAAACAGTCGCAAGAAGTTTGCTGCTACCGGCCGGCAACCACTGGAGCATTGTTGCAGGGTTCTCTTTGGCCAGCAATGAGGTGGTATGGAGTTGTTATAACAACACGAGCCTCGAGTTGATAAGTACCGCAGGTGAGAGCGTGCCGCTGCCTCCTCGCTACCTTGCTGTCCCCTCCACCACTGCCCCTTCACCCTCCGTTCCTCCTCCCATTGTCTCGATGGGACCGCGTGGATTTAGTCGTACGACCGGAGCAGGGCAGGCTCCGGAACAATAAGGTCGTCGACAGGTGCGTTGGCCGTGTTTGCAAGGGGCTGTAGAGGGATCGCGATCTCCTCGTCCTCTACACCAGCCATATCGTCGACGGCGACAGGCTGTCTGCGGTGAAGGCTGCGGCGAATCTGCCTTCTCTCAACCCACAACGCCCTGATTCTTGGTAGCTTGTAAACATTGAAGGTGAGGGCCAGGAGCGCGCCCACGGCGAGGCCAACGAAGATGATACCGATGATATCCTTGGCTCCCATTGTGTTGATGGCTGGTCGGATAGAATGCTATCGTAAGTCAAGTGGGTTATAGGTATGGCAGGTATGTGTGTTTGTATCTTTGATTGTGTCGAGCAGTCGTGGGCAAGCTGTAAGATGAGAACATAGCAGCGCCCGCCAAGACTTCATTCATGTCTATACCAAGGATCGAAGGTTCTTGCATTTCTAAGGCACATCCAGGAATCCTACGGCATAATGGACGAGAAAGAAGGTGTCTCAATACTTGAGAGGGCTAGCATAACGTTCAGCAGGCCATACTTTGTTCTCAAAACGACGCGTTTGATTGTAGTGAAGGGATCATCAACGTGTGCTATAGGCATTGAGACTTCCTGTCTGGGTTTAGGTAGGCGGCAGACCCTGTCCGCGTACAACGACATTACGTTTGCCTACTCATCCTCTCCCTTCTCATCTCGATCTCATCTCAATCTCATCTCAATCTCATCTCCTCCCTCTCCATCAACCACGTCATTCTTCCTTTCCCTCATCATCGTTCATGATGGTATACTCTTCCACAATCAAACGTATGCAACGTCTTAGACGTCTTCTGCTTGCTCTTCGTCCTGACAGCTTACTCGAATCCAGCACAATTCGTTTACGGAAGGCACGTCGTGGCTTCCTTACTCACAAGTCAACCATGATCGATAGGCTAGGTATACCGCATTCGTGGCATCGTCTGATCCTTTGCATCGCTTCTCACTCTATGCTGACGTTCCCAATTCAACAATACGGCCACCCTTGAGCAAACATACATCATTCCCGCATTCTCCCGCTCCTCCACCTACCCGTCTCCTCAAGGCTGACTCAACAACACACCAAGCACAGGCAATTTGGCCTCTTACGTTGCAAGCAACGACACGGCCAGTTACTTCAATGAGCAGATCTCCTCCCAGCGAGAGAATCCATCACTGCTACTTCATCGACCCAATATATTGCCTTTGCTCGGTGCTACCCGACGAAGCTCCCGCCTCCCCTTAGGATTCCATGCTGACAGCCGGCGACAAGCGCCAGCGCAACTTCACTTGCCCCGTTCCTGACTCAGTCCACGACCCATGCTGGGGGCCCTGTCGACTGTATCAACCATGCGTTGGTCTTTGCAGACTATGATATCCATACAGTATGAGAAACTACGGCTCTCGGGGCGTCAGAAGTAGGCCTCGACGGCGGTCCTGCTGTTTGTGTCAGCGTTCCACCCAAGGAGGCAGGACACTGCCTGCCCGGATGCCGAGAAGTACCACAAGTGGCACAGCGGTTCCACCTTCACTCAGTTCTACGTCAACCCAGCCGGTGTCTCAGGATTCTAAGCTTCGCTAGCTTCCTTCGCACAAGGAGTACGCAGAGACGGGCATCGACAAGGACCCGTGCCGTATCCCCACCATGCCAAAGCCTACATTCGATAACATCGCCATGGCACCCATGAGCACCCAGAGCAGTCCTGACAGTTCTTACGAGGACAACACTGTCGACATCAAGTGCCGGCCCCATTCATTCTATCAGCTCTACAACTTTGGCAAGAGCAAGCGTACGAAGAGCAGGCGGAGAGGAGAGCGCAGAAGCAATCCGGCCGGCCCTCCGGCCAGTAAGCATCATGAAGCGATCTGGTTTAACCCTTATCAGGAGTTGTTACAAGCCATTAATCACCGCCGTCCCCATCGGAATTCATCAGTTCACTCATGGCTTTCAAGAGCCTTCAACGCTCTGCCAGAAGGTGCTTCGCATTTCGGTCTCAACTGCCTGAACAACGTCGCTAACCCTGGGACATACCTCTACCGCCAGATCCTGCCGGACGAGGACTACCTCGATGCCAAGTTCTAAAGATGCAGGAGCTTCTCCGCTGGGTGCGAGAATGTCACGACACGCGACCGTCGCCAACTGCCTTAACGGTATTTGTCTCGAGCTTATGTTCCCTGTCTGCTAGAATGGCAAGGGCAACGACGAGTGAAGAGGCTGACCAGGCTCTAGGATCTAGGCTTAGACCGGTGTTGCTATTCCAAACTCCTCTCTCTGGGTATCGTCTGTGCCGGCTGACTTCCAGCCAGAGCTTGGAGACAGGAACGCTCGCGTGCTTAGCGAGCAGACTCTGTCTGCGTGGCGGCCCCATTGATTGCAATCAGCTTCAAGAGTTACCGTTGCTTCGGCACACTTCCACTCTTTTATCACGATCTAGTACCGCTCAGTCGCACCACCGTCGGTGCACCACCTCTACCAGACAACGTTCCGGCCTCTCGTGACGCGCAGTCGATCACCCTTTCCGCCGCTGTCACTAGTCCAGTTAAAGGCTTTCTTGCAGCGGCCCCTTTGATCGTATCAGCTCCACATAGCCTGGCCATGACGGTCGTAGTCTGGGATACAGCATAGCCAGTCCCATTGTTCCAACCAGCCGAATGTCGCCCGGTGTTATCAGGAATCAGTGTTCACGGTATTGCCGTAATGGATGTGCAGCAAGAGCTAGGAGATGAGGAACTCGCAGGCTTAGCGAGCAGATATGGGCGTCGATGTCCGCGTTGGCCACGCCATCCGACGCACGGCCGTCCCTTCGACGGTAGCAGTGCTCTGGTGCCCACCCATCTCGTGAGGGAGTTGTGTCAGCAAGTGCCACCAGAGATCCCAAGTCTCCGATTGAGCGAGCTACCAACAATGCAGTAGGTCTTGACATGAACACCACTCCAGAGGATGTGCTAAGTTCCAACTGCACCTCGTGACCGTCCCATCATTGCATCAGCCCTCCTGGTTCAATCGTCACTGTGTGCTCGCCCTCCGCACGCCTATCATAATGCCGGCTCCGGAGAGGCTATGTGGTGGGCGTCAGAGTCATTGTTCAACGCGAACAGCAGTGACGAGGAAGAGGGCGTGGCGGATCGCAAGAGCTCGTCAGGAGTTATGTTCTCAAGTATCGATTGAGCCGGCCGAGCATTGAGTGTTGGCAAATGTCATTAGATATCGACCAAGGAGGGAGGACGGGTGGGAAAGAGGCTCTGCTCGTTTGCTTCTTTACTCTACTAGCTCGCTGGCTTCGCCTGCTCAGTAACTTTATTTGCTCGATAACTCGATCTACTCAAGGTATTGCTCTATTTGCGCACTAGCTCTGTGTAATGTGATCTTGCGAATGAGAAGAAATCAACGACCATCTATCTCAGAATCTAGTCCTGTGATGTACTACATGAACTCATCGTAACCACCGGCGTGTTTGCCTCTCAATGCGGCTCTTCGCGTGTACATAACAAACTCTCAGTTCTGACGCGCTACCACCACAAACGCAAAAACACGTCCAAACACCTTCAACATTCTCAAAACGGACAGCAAGATGTTCTTCTTTCGCAACATACCTCTCGGCCTCCGCGTCGCTTCTCTCGTCGCCGGCTTCTATCTCATGGACAGAGGCGGCATACCCGCCATCAAGTGAGCCTTCCCACACAGACAGAAGCATGAATGGAAAGAATGAACGTTGGACAACTAACCGATTTTAGATACCTGCACGCTCATGCCCGCGGTGGCCGCGTCGACAAGTCTCCGGACGAAGGCAAGAAGGACGGAGAGTGAGGAAGAGATCGGTGTCGTGGGATCGTGGTGGGGCGGGACGGCTGTCATAATTCATGACTGGACAAGAATCCGAATTCAATCAGTACTCTGGAAACCTGGTCCTGTTGTTCCACAAACAGCCATTGCAAATCAACAGTCGTAGTACCGGGTTACCAAGAGTGCTAGGGTGTCACTCTCATCAGACGGTTTCAGCAGCCGCTAAGCATTGAAGGCAATCACCAGACGTTTTGAACCTGTAGAGTTCTCGCTCATACGGATATGCTAGCATGAGTGCTGTCATGCGATAGTACCTGACCAATCAAGCGACTATTCATCGGGAACACCATGAAGTTGTTTGTGAAGAGGCCCAGATACAAGGAGGCTCGACGCTGCTCTAGAGAAGTGAGCCCAACGGTAGACGTTGATCAGCATGGACGATGTTAGCTTCGGGAACACTTGTTTCCAGGTAGCGCGCCATTAACCCAACTCTTCCCCTTATCAATTTCGAAGAGAGCAGAATCGCCATCAAACAGGCGCCGTGGTGTAATTGGTAACACATCCACACGGACGGGTGTTCTTGTTTGAGTACCTATCCTTATTTCCTTACCCGTTCCGTGTGGAGGCATGCAGCGTTCGAGTCCTGCCGGCGCCATTTCTTTTGCATTACCCGCCTCGAGGCCTCTTTCTCCTTTTTGCGTAGTGACTTAGTTGTCTGCAACAACACGGAACTGGAAGCATAGCAGTTGCTGTAGCGAGCTGCATACAACGTCTGCTTCCTATTGCCTTCCATTAGTCTTTGTTTTGTGCCGCGGTTCTTCCGTTTGTGATTCTGCTGGGTTGAACGCCTTCGACGCGTCCCAATCGACGCCAGCGGTCTCGGATTACCCGCAACAACATACACTGAGAGTTGCCGGACCATACCCAGGAACCCACCGCATCTCTTGAGTGCAACAGCAACATCCACCCTCGTTTCAAACACGATAAGCCACGTACCACATCAGGAGGCGGATTCACTCGGTCCGCAAGATGCAAATCGGGCGCCCAACCACTCGAAAGAGCACTTTCATGCTGCTTGTTTTCTTTGATTGGCCGCTGCCTTATGCCCTGCTGGTGCCACTCGTGTTGTTTGATCTCTCTCGCTGCGCTTCCCGCCTTGACTTCTTTTGCACAGCGAGTTAGTGGTCAGCAACGACAACTTGCTGTACGACATTTCGGCACCCCTACCTTTCTGTTTGCATTCAGATAAACACTTGATGCAGTTGCAAGATATTATAGCTGAGACGGGTGTCTGTACAAGAGGGCCAACTTACGAGTACGGTCAGCAGGCTGAAGGTGTGGTTGCTCAAATGACGAACTGGCATTTACAATAGGGACATACCATGCAGATTGACTGCACCCGTCCTCCATATCCATCGATGCTCCGCCATCGTACAGTTTTGTCTGGAGATCCGATGCGTGAACCTTACGAGACGGTCTTCTGATGTGCCTCTAAAGCGAACGAGCGATGCCAGATACAAGACATGTGAAGGTCGGCAGGAAGAACGCTTGCATTAGTATGGTGCTCTCCACTGCAGCGTCCATCAAGAGCAGCGCCATGTCAAGACCATCCCCAACAATCTAGGCCGGTATCCGACACCTTGAGCCTTTGCCGAGTAGTCGTACACGTACGTTTAATCATAAACCATCCCATGTCTTCCCTCATCCCCAAGTGCCAACTTCCAGTCGAACACAAACGCCTGCCCTCATGCAGCCGACAGTTCGGCAATGCGCTTCTCGATCTCCGGGACAGCTCTCAGCTGCATATCAAGCTCCTCCTTCTCACTGCAGAAAACAAAGATGTCAGCCAATCCCGCTCACAAGACAACCCCTCACCGTTTCCCGCCCGCCCCATCAGAGCAAAGACATAAGAACAACGACTTACTCTTCGAGCCTCAACCTCTCCTCCGCATCCAACCTAGTAAAGACAAATTCCCCTGCCCATCAAACTGCAAAATCCATCCATGATATCTCCAAAGACTCCTCCGATGACTGACCGTCATGAGCGTGATCCCCAACCTCTTCGCCTCATCGTACATGATCTTCTCCGCATCCGGCGTCAGGCTGCTCGTACACTCGTCCAGAATCGCATACTGGGGTCGGTGATAGAACAACCGCGCGGCTGCGATGCGTTGCTGGTTGCCAATACTCAGGACGTCGTTCCACTCAGCCTCGACGTCAAAGCCCGCCAAAGGGTGTGAGTCTGGGGCCTGTCTGCCGCGCAGCTGCAGCAGGTCCGCGATCCCCAGCACGTCCAGGATCGCGGCTAGCTCGGCGTCGGAGACGCCACGGTCGCGCTGCTCGGCTAGGCTGTCGGGGTACGTGATTTGCTGCCTCAGCGTGCCGCGCGAGAGGTAAGGGCGTTGGGGGATGTAAAAGATGTCTTCAGCGGGTGGTTTACGGACCTTGCCGCCGTAGACGGGCCAGAGGCCGCCTAGGATGCGGAAGAGGGAGGATTTTCCGCAGCCGTTGGGGCCGACGATGAGGAGATGGTCGCCCGGTTTGATGGCGAAGCTGAGTTTGGAGACTAGAACGTCGCCGTTTGGACTCACGATGGGCACGTCTACGAATTCGATGTCGGGGCCTTCGGTGAGCTCGCCGCGCCCGGAAAGAACGGCAGCGTTAGTGGTGGTGGAGGCGGAGCTGACAAGGGTTTTCTCAAAGTGGCCGCGTTGGATGTCGGCGATGACGGAGAGGAGCGTGCTCACACGTGAGGTGTAGCCCGCAAGCTGAGAGATCTCTTTGTATGAGAACATCAGTCTGCCGAAGGCGTCGGATGACGAGAGTAGGAGTCGCCGGTTAGTAACGAAGCTTTCCGTTCTATCGCCCATGCTGCCCACCTGTCCGCCTGCAGAAGGGACCTTGAAGAAGACGGGGATACTGCACAGCATCAGACCCAGCGCGCCCCAGAAGTACTTGATGACAAAGTCCTCCATCACGCCGTGGTAGAAGCGGCGTCTCAGGATCCGGTTGACGTGCTTGATCAACGTGAAATAGCCCTTGTCCAGCGTGTCCTTTTCCGCCTCATGACCATGGTATAGCGCAATTTCTTCGCTGTAATCGATCAGGCGTGAGTGCTGGTATCGGAATTCGCCTTCGAGACGCGCTTCGTCTGCGACGTATTTACCGAATGGCGGTGTCAGTGCCCGCATCACGCTGGCAGAGAGCTGGACCAGTAGACCCATGGCAAAAGGCCTTCGCCTCCGACGGAGCGTGAGAGAGAATAGTTGTATATGACCATGTCCAGTATCGGCTTGGCGAGATTGGAGTAGAGCTCTGCAAGACTGTTGGAGAATTTGGATACGTCCACGGTGATGAGTTGGTCCGCATTCTTGATCCGGTCGTCCAGTGCGGAAAGCGTATAAAATGTCATGTTGGACAAGTATTTGTTATGTATGTAGTGGGTGAGACGGGTACGGTACTGCAGCGCAAGCTTGCATTGATGGTACGAAAGCTGTAACATCTTCTATCAGCTACCGGTATGCATGAGGAGGAAGGGAATGCCCAAACCATGGAATTCGTAAATGTTGCGGGTATGGCAACAACCATCCACCAGACCAGACCTCCTAAGAAGTCCCTTCCCCTGCCTCTGACCAGATTGCTGACCAGTCTCCCATCCAACTCAGCCACATAAAGGCTGATCAGTGTCCTCAGCACAAGGAACACGCTATGACTGATCAACAGCCTCAATTCTTTGCTCTTCCACCCCGGTATGCAGATCCTCAACAATCGCAGCAAATTCTTGAAGAACTCGCGATTCAGTTCCACCTTTTTCCGCCCCGTTGCCTCGCCCTCTGCGGCTCCGGTTCCTGGACGCTTGCGGGCTTCAGCCTGACGAGCGGCGGCGGCTTTCTGCTCTTTGATGGCATTTCGAATACGACCGATGAGAGCGACGAACAGACTTAGATAAATTGCCCGCGAGATGCGAGTACGGTGCTTCAGGTAGAGCGACGTCAGGTCGGATACCATTTGCTTTATCGAGCGTTCTGTGATGCGACCGGGCAGTTGGAGTTTCGACTGCGCCGCCATGTTGATAGTTCAGTTACTGAGCTGGACAACTGGGGTCCAGATATGTCGTGCCGCAGCGCAGACATGGCATATGCTTGCAGGAGAGAAGCAGTCGGACTCAGTGGTGAAGTCGACAACGACTGGCATGTGAAGATGGATCATCCCTTGAACAGCTGCTCGCAGCGAGTCGCCAAAACCTGGGGAGCCGAGGTCGCCCGCCAGCCACGCGCTCGAGTCATGTCTCTCTCGTTTGGTGAAGGAGATTATGGCACGTGTCGATCATCACGAAGGCCAACCAAGATCGGTCACCTGCTTGGAGTCGAATACTGGGGTATAGGCTCCCTGTAGCATTATAATTACAACAGCACAACTACTCCCAAGCGCTCCACTCCTCCGCAATCCCCTCACATTCATCCTGCAATCTGTCCAACTCGGCCTCTTCCCTCGAGCTCAGCGCATAGCTGTCCGATCTCCTCAACCGCCGTCTCATGTAGTTGATATCCGCCACCCTTCCCTGCAGCTTGTCCTCCACTTCTTTCCTTTCCTTCGCTCGGCGCGCAAGGTATTTGAGGTCATTATCTTCGACGGCGCGCTTGAAGACCCTGCGCATGCGAGCAGAGTACAGCTGGCAAGAAGAGCCCAGGCGACCTTCGCTACTGACGAACTGGGGCTCGCCGTTGAATCGCATGGCGATGTCGGAGTCAGCCCGTAGCTGTGGCTGAACAACCTCGTCGAAGCAGTCTTGACAGACTGTGAACGCTGGAAGGAGAGATGGAATGTAGTGCCAACGCTGTCCTCGTAGCATATCGTCCCTGGTGCATTCCCGTATTCTTGATTTGTGACGAACCAAAGAGACGAAATTGGAAGTGTCAGGCATCCGGCGAGCAGAGGCGGCCGACTCGTGCAATGAGACTAGCGAGTCCAGGTAGAGTGAGAATCGATTGTTGGGCGTGGTTCGTAACGCGCACTTGCGTTCCTCGCCTTGATACCCATATGAATATGAGTTCCTCTGAGGAAGAGGTACGAAAAGGCCGCGCAGAGCAGGAAGGAGAAGTTCAAGTTTGCGCACATCTTGCGGACATACCACAAAATCTCGGAGATAGCGTCCATCGCGATCCCGGATGGTATACCAATTGCGGACTTCTTCAGCAGATCCAGGACAGGGCTGGTCGAGATGGTTCATAGGCAGATTCGTGAGTGATTTAAGCAGCGACAGAGATGGCAGTTGACGTTGCAATGTCAGCAGCCAAGCAAGCCGTATCCAAGGATCACTGAAGTCACATTTAGTCTGCACGGAGGAAGGTCGTGGCGGCGAACGCTTAAAGTACGATCGATAGACTGTGCTTGCAAACACTCCGCTTACGCAGTCAGGGCAGATGTCGAAGCCTGCGCAGCCGTCGAGCATATACCAGTCGTCATGTCCTCTTGAGTACTCTGGCCTGGGACATGCCGGCAGAGGCAAGGGCGCTGGAGCTGAGGTGGACGGCGTCTTTGGACTTGCCGGCCTTGTGATCGAAGCCTTTCGACTATTGATGGCCGAAGGAGAAGCGAGCGGGATAACCTCTGCAGCAGTGTGTCGCATCGGGAAGGGTGGCCTCGCGCGTTCTG